CTGGATCAGTGTCCAAGGTGCTCATTTTGCGTGGCAATGCGAGCACTTTCACACAAGGTCAAGGCCATCCTAAGTTACTGGTGACGTGGATCGGGCCATGTCGAGACAAAGAAGTTGACGAGTACTCTGTCTTCCTCGAACATCTCATCACACATGAAGTATGTGAAAAGTAAGAGAAGCGCACACATCACATGCCAAAATGTATGCCGAGTCGAGCTTCGAAGTCACGGAAGAGAACCTGGAACACTTGTCTGAACAAGGGCTAGTGCTGAAGGTTCAGTCCATCGCTGGACACAAATTTGTCCTGGATGTAACGGACTACACCCTGAAAGCCTTGTGGCATGTGTTCGAAGCGGTTGAAGCATCGTGGGAACCGTTGAAAAAGCTCATGAAAGTATGTCCAGCTTGTTGAGCCACATCGACGTGAAATATTTGATCCACAAATCAAATATCGCCTCAAGGCCACGTCATACATAATATGCCTATTCTGCATGTTACATGAGCCTTGCGCAAGTGAAAGGTAACGAAAGCCAGCTCGCCCTAGCGGTGCTTAATGCAGAATTTCTAGAAAGCGAGCATTCTCGTAGTCAAACTTAACCTCGGCTTAATCAATCACTTTCCAATTTGCACCCAATTCATCTGTGGTCATGAACGTCGACGACTACCCAGACCTGGTGAAGGCTATCAAGCAAGCGAGCGAGAAGGGTTAGAAGACGCAAATGCCGGGCCTGTCTGGCAGATCATGACTTGGGGGGGGTGTTGTGTGCAGTGGCGTCAGCCATGCTCTGCCACGCACAGGTGGAGCCCGCAAAGGACCACGGAGCGCCACCGACGTGAATCAAGCAAGCTGCACAGAAGCGTTCCATACTAGATGAACGACGCTTGCCAATAGTCACTCAAGGGAGCCAATCAGGAACGAGAGTAGAGGCAACGGTTGGAACAGCTCACTCTTAGTTTTGCCCGCTTGCAGCAGTTCAATCAAGTCAGTGATTCACGGGAGGCGGCGCTCCCCTATCTGGTTGTTCGTGTGCACGCAGGGCGGAAACTGCTCACCCCAGCACGAATTTGATGTCATTCCACCAAATACCTCGGGTGTGCTTCTTCTTCTGAAGAAAAATTAGGATGCTGCTTCTAAGAGGGACATTCTTGCCTCAAGAAAGAGGGGCAGTCGCGGCGCTCAAACATGTCGCCAGAAAAATGTGACAAGTCACGTACCTCTTGAAGGACGGCTTCAAACGCTAGAGCAACTTTTTCGATAGCGTTCAACAGACGTGAATACGGTTCAAGCTGCAGCAAGCAGAAAATCGAACGGTCCCCCACGACGACATGGTCTTGGAGGGTCGTTTGCTGTTCTGTATGAGAGAGTATGCAGGTGCATTGTTCAAAATGATGACCACACCACAATGTTGCATTGGACGCAGATACCCACGACACCCTTGACTTCACATTTGTGTAGATTTCATCGACGAGAGCGGTGTTGTTGTCCATCTTGTTGCTGTCCCTTTGCACGCGACTGCACAGAAGACTGCTGAACGGAGGATACGGTGCATTGGAGTTAGAGATTGGGGTCCTTCAACGGAGACATAACCAACGTTGCACCTTGTCTCTTTATGGCACCACCAAACATACGCTTGCAATACAAGTTGATAATTGTTTCGTCGTAATACACGATGCAGTCATCGTTTCCTTGGTGCTGGATGAATTCATGAGCAAACTCCTGGAGTTTGGGTTTGGTCAAGGTGTCATTCCATGTGGATGGCTTGATCCGAGCTTGTTTGATGATGTAGAGCATGCCAAGGAGATGTCGGCTCATGGTTTTTATCGACACGTCCAATCCAAAGGCCAAGAACTCCTTCATTTGACGCAACGTGTACAGTATAAACAATTCACATACTTCTCTAGGACATTTAACACTGTTAGCGTCACTTTCGTGCGTGTTGTTGTGGTCCCTCCTCTTGGCTTCGGGTTGACGCAGTG